AACTGGCGTCAGTGTCATGTATTTTCCATCGATGGTAGCCGCTCCGAGAGCCTGCAGTAAAGTGGCGGATAATAACGTAAAGAACAAATGCAAGGAAAATCTACCTAGTTAATAAAACAAACACAAAGCGGTTACAGGAGCATAACAATCCAGAAAAAAAATATCCGTGGAGGAGAGAGTAATTCATCTATTGGCTCTTTGAAGCCAGCTTGCGCTTGAATAGCAAATGAGCACAATTTCAAGAGCAAAAAGTGCAGTTTAGATAACATTACTTTAGCCAAAGTAAAAGTTTTTCGAATAAAGGAGAAGTGGCATTCTGCGCAAAAAATAATTTACATTACTGCTGAAAAATAAGTTTTAGGCTCCTACTCTTGAAAAGTCAAGCAGTGAACAAACTATGGTTTCATCGGTCGAAGTGTACCACTAGGCCTAAGCAATAACGTGCTGTAAATAAAAACAAAAACAGAACAATCACGATGAACAAACACACCAGCAATTCTCGTTCAGCCGCTATCATGCTTTCTTCGTCCGGCTGTTGAATGAGTTTCAATTTTCGAGGTCGCCGGAGTCCTAGCGCTAACATTTCCAATAAAACCTGTGAATGGTACTGTAAGTCAAGCTAGACATTCTATACGATGATCTAGACCAGAGAGAATGGAAAGGAACTTAGATGTTCCTGCATATCAACAAACACAGAAGAAACAAATAATGATGAACGGTTGTTTTCTATTACTCACCGCTGCCAAATTGCTTCGTAGAATTTCAGGAATACTTGTGGCTTTAAGCTTCTCAAAATGGTTGAATGGATACAAACTGAAATGTAATGGTGCTCAAAACTTTGCTCTAATTCCAAAAAGTTGAACGCTATCGTTTAACAAACAACTAACCGGTAACACTTTCCAGGAGCCTCACGTCCGGCCCGTCCAGCTCTCTGAATCGCCTGCGCTTTGCTTATGTCATGTACTCGTAAAACATCGATGCGATCGGCTGCAGTGAAGGTTCTGAATTATAAGGAATCAAACAAAGTAAGCTCTGGAATCGTTAAAACAAAGTAGGCGCAAATCCCAGCTGAGAGCGGCGCGCGAACTGGCCTAAGGTGAAAAACATCTGCCTACAAAGCAAATGCTTTCTGAAAATCGGTATGACTGTAGAGGATCCTACTGGAAAATTCTCAACCCATGATCTTCAAAGAAAAACAACTGTTGTCACAAAACCCTCTGAAGAGCTGTTCACTTGAAAATATAAGCTTCAAAACTATAAGCACATCACTTGAATTTCAATCTCACCTCGTTTTGACTTTTCCGGAATCGATTACTACACGTATTCCTGGAATAGTGAGCGAAGTTTCAGCGATGTTTGTAGCCAGCACGACTTTTCGATGACCCTAGATATCACGAAAGAAATGACACTTTCCAGACAGGTTGAAAGCAAAATTACATGCTCACGTCATATTCAAATGAGATTATAAGACGCAAACAATTCGGCGAGGAGTGCAGTTCGAAATTAAAAAAAGCCGCCAAATCAAGCTGCCGCCTCAATATGCACCTACAAAATGTATGCATGTATTACCGCTCATTGCAAACCAATCGCCGTGTACCATTTGTCCATGACATGTATCAATTCGGCTCATGCTTCGGGTCATCCACCCTATTCTTTGGGGTCTCGGGTTGGCCCTTCGACTCGTCATAGTCATGTCATCAAAAAAATATGTTCTCTTCTCCGCGTTCTAAACCTATGCTGGACCGTGAGTCTTCCTTTGGCGGTGATGGTATGAGACGACTACCTTCCGCGTAAGTTTTCCGCAAGGAGATTGTAAAAAGGGAGTAGGCCACGTCGCGATTTCTGACTGCAAATGGTTCGTAAGCCATGAATGCTGCCTACGGTTTCAAACAAGTAAAATTAAAATAAAATAAAATGAAAAATAGTAAAGAAAACAACGAAACAAAAGTGATCAAGCTGAACAATAAGTACAGTTTAAAAACTAACCTCCGGTGGTGGCTCGAATGCTTTCATTTGAGCAACACTACTCATCGCTGCGAACAATGGAACAGGATAAATCGGAGAAGTGAAATGCTCGTTCAATTCCTTCAACTTTTTCACTGCACACTCGATCTCTTCACGACCCGTCAAGAAAACAAGGAAATGATCACTGAAATAGAACAGGCAGATGGTATAAGCTAGAAGATAAACAGCAGCAATTCATTTGGAAAACCGCCAAATTTATTCGTAATTGGTAGATCGTTCCCAATCAAAGTGATTGTGAGGTAAAGTACCTCAGAGGTTCCTCCTGATGTAAGTCTTTGATACAGACAAGAGAATTATAGACGTAATCGGAATTATCAGGATTGAGTTCGGCGTGAAAGACCTGAAAAAATGAAGAACCCTCAAAAAAGTATGACGATCACCAGTACAACTAATGGACATGCCTCGACAGGAAAAGTTCTACCCTTGATAACAAAAACAGGAGCGTCATCAAAATATTTTGAAAATAGTTTAGCTTCGAGTGTAGCAGACATTATGACTATGCGAAGTGGAAGCATGCCCGTCTCTTTGCGTTGCCGCTGGCACAATCGTAACACATCTGAAAGAAGCATAATCTAAGTGAATCTTCACCAAGCTCAGCTGCAATGTTCGTGATGCATCACGTATCTAACAAGGGGGTCTTTCAGGGCAACCGCGCTTTTCAAAATGGTTTCTTGCATATTGTAGGGACGCATGTATGGACCACAAAACCATGTTTCGTTTTCGCTGAACGGTTTTAGTAGTATCAAAAAAGTGGTGAATAATGTTCAATGGTTCGATACTCCGTGGCGACTAAATTAGTCCTTGACCGATGACTCGACATCTGATTTTGAGTACTTAGCACATTTGGGCACAGCACAGGAGTGCGGAAACCAGATTGTAAATTTAGTCGCCACAGGAGGATCGAACCTAGCACACTACTCACAACTTTTTTGATACTTAGAAAATACTAAATGCTAGCGAAAACGAAACGGTGTTTATTTCGTGATCCATACATGCTGTCCCAACAATTCTGCCAATAAACCGTTCTAAAAAAGCGCGGTCCGCCCCAGAAAGACCCTCTTTGTAAGCACATGAAAAATGGAAATAGAACATCATAAAGAAAACAGTGCACGTTAAAATTCTCACTCAATAAAATATCAGTATGGAGACTCCGTTCGTGAGCTTCATCGACGAGTATGGTAGTATAGTCATTCAGAAGAGGATCATGAATAGCTTCCCTCAGCAGAATACCATCAGTGAGGAAGACGATCTCTGTATCCTCAGACAGCTCCTTTTCAAACCTAACATGATACCCGACCTAAAATTGTATATTCCATGAAATCACGTAATGAATTGTGGACATTAGCCGATTTGGAACAGACTATTCACCTTCATAAGTCTTGTTCTAATTTACCAACCCCTAGAAACCTTGCATTTTCTAAGTGAGATCTGACCCTTAGACACGATTGGTCTGTACTCTACGTTCGCCAAAAATAGCGTGATCAGTTTAACCACGTATCAGATATTACGTCAAGATGACCATTTGAAATGAAATGGATTGGTCGTTCTGAGAAACTAATCTACATTCTATATCTACGGCGTGGCTGTCACTGTGACTTTAAAATAACACTTGCAGGCGCTCACTTACACGCAACGCGTACAAAAGACGCAATGGTAGCCCGAACGTCTGAGATTCGAGTGGATGATACCAACGCCAGATTTGTCGTGAAGGCGTACCTTTTGTCCCAATGGCGAGTTGACTTCCTTTGCCACTCTGTTGGCCAGTGATACAGCGGCTAACCGTCGCGGTTGAGTTATACCAATTCGCCCTTTTTTGGCCAGTCCAATTCGAGCACAAAACTAAAAAAAGAATAAAAAAACCAAGTGGCAAACAATAAAAAACTATCCGATGGGTTTATGTCACTTGATGAAATCATGAATTTATGAAAGTGATCCCTGACCGAGTTGAAAAGATTAGGTGTGGTAATAAGTGAGAACTGATTCGAAACAGTCATACATGAATTTTTAATTTTTTTTCAAAACGAGCTTTAATCAGCACAATACACCAAAACAGGCCTTCATCAACTCGCATGAAAGTTTATGTCTCTCTTCGAAAATTGTCAGTTTTTGACGCAAGAAATGATAGTGGGTCCGTTTCGAGGTGCGCGTGATGATGATAGGTCTTCTCCTTCAGGAAGCAGCACGCAAGCGATGGATGTGGCGGTTGGTTAGTGCAAGGCTGATGATGATGAAGGGTAGGGAGAAACACAAAGCCCGGCTTCTCTTCTGAAACCCTTTCGTGACATAATCGTGAGCTGCCGCGCAGTAGCTAAACAACTGCGCCTATGGATGCCACAACGTCGAGGTACAATATAATAGCTCCCACCCTTGGCACCTGCATGCAGTAGTTGTCTTTGTCTACGCCAGCAGCAGTATTATCATTCTTGATGTAGAATAATGCATCCAAACAACGGTGAGCAAAACCTGGAAGGGGCGGTCACATTTCCGAGTTGAGTTCTGTTTACTTACTAAGCTCTAAATACCTACTAATGGCCCCCCCCCCAAGCAGTAGCTGATCTTTTGAAGAATCTCATGTCCAATGTAAAACAAATGCCCACTGGTTTGCCCCAGCTCGATTCTTTGCTCCTGCTGTTTGGAACACTTCTTCGCAAAGAGAACCCCAGAGAAGGATCTTAGTTTCAAGTCTGACGCAGTGGGCATGCCTCGAAACGAATATTGGTTCAGAGCGTGACCACAGAGATGGTCCAAATTTTCATTATATGAAAAAAAAAAAACATATGAGGCCCACACATTACCTTCATGAGACAAAAGTCTGACTCAATAAGGGGGTATTATGGCGATTGAAACTGAGTATAGAGATGCGAAGTGGAACGACAGTGGAGAAAAAACTGAGAAAAACCGTCGACCGTTAACAAAACCCTCTTTCCCACTAGCAGTGAAGGAGGCTGGCTTGGGGAAAGAGGCACGTACAAACAAGTTTTCTGGAGATGTCAGTCGTTCTATCGGTTGATACGGCAATCAACCTATTTCACACGCACCACTTCCGGAGGTGGGCGGTCCTGGATTGACCAGGCGGCCCTGGATTGAAACCGAACGCCCCGGGGCCTTAACGGGGTTTTTCAAGGTGGGAAGTTGCTGCAATGTGTGCAGCTACCCACATACAACCTCCAGGCACGGGAATTACTTCTCTAGCGTGCCTGAGCCCGACCTTTGCCTTTAAGGGGAAGAATTGTAACAACACTATTTCCGTTCAAGTTAAGCAATTTTGTCAAAGTAATAGCAATTATTCTGACTAAATAGATTGATGTCTATAGTGCAAAATTCCGTGAAAGTTTTAATGTTGCACACCTCTCTCCATGAATCACTATACGGAAGTTCCGAGAAATTTCACCTTGAATCATGCTCTCATTTCCCATGCTCCCATTTTCTGCCTTTATTTCCTTCCTTGTTTCCGAACGAGAATTCAACCGTTACCGTTCTACATATACAGCCTCATTATCAGCGACCCCGTTCCTTGTTCCAGCTATGAGCCGAATCAGCCCCTATAAACTTTAATTTTTCAACGACACGATTTCCATTCTTCCCTCACGGTTGGTATTAGCAAGTTTATCACATAATCACTATACAATGTGCACTTCTTTAGGGTTTCTGATGAAGAAGCTTAAAAAGAAGTTTTTTGTTCCCCTAGCCTGGGGCAGGAAAGGATACAATTCTCAGATAATTGGAGGTTCACTGGACTTTATGTGTAAGGTTGCTAACCAGTTATATCCGCATAATAAATGCTAGTTCTTTACACAGCCCCAAAAAGTCCAACAGTTCAAATACTGTAAAGTCACAAAAATACACAACCAACCCTCCCAGCCGCATTGATTTTTGGTACCATCTTGTCATCTCCCAGCAAGAAAGATCAAGGTTTGCTGGTTGATTTGCGATTGATTCAAAATGCCAAAATATCTAACAACTACTATACTAACGACAGAGTTTCTTAAAAGTACCTGCGGCACTTGCGTACTTTTTCCGCAACCCGTTTCGCCAATCAGAACAACAGTTTCGTGCTTGTGAAGAGCTTCCATAATTTGAAACTGTACATCGTGGATAGGCAAATGTAGAGTGATATCTTCATGCTAAAAGTTCATCAAGCACTAAAGTGCATCGCTTGAGAAGCAGGAGTAACTAAATTGCGAATCCATCAAAAGAACGAGAAACAACAGAGCAAACCTCTTGCGCTTTCTTCTCTAGAGGAAGTTCTCTGTCATGAGCTGATGCTGAAAAACAAAATTGATAATATCTGAACAGAAAACGCAAGCATGCCACGAACCTGGACGTCTTCGTTTCTTCTTCATTTTTGGTAGCAACATACTCTTAAAACAATTAGATGGACTTGTAGGTCATTGCGAAGAGTTTAGTGAGTGTTCAAGCCCAAGAAGCAAAGCGATAGATGCAGAATAACATTCACAGTTCGTTACAAAAGGCTACAATTAGCTAAAACTATGTTTGCGATACGGTGCACATCGCTTTGGTGAGCTTACGGCAAAGCCATCCTAAAATCCGACGACTGGATCACGTCATCTCCAAGCTTCAAGTTAGTGAGCTTTGCGCCGGTGGATTTTTTGTTTGCATATAAAAATGTGAAACTCAGTCATTAAATATTTTCGCGTCTATGTCCACGAAACTTTGCTATGTTGTATACTGTCCGTTTAGGGTGTGTTTTAAGTTCTAACTCCAAATCTCTTGTTATGTTTACATTTGCTTATTCCTCATGCGTATGTATCACATTGTGGATGCACATGGACGGATTTCACGATTTATACAAATGAGGAAAGTGTATAATCATTTTTTTCAGATCATTCACACAATGCGTCCTGAGCGTGGACGACCGCCATATCGAGGTAATGGACCTAGGCGTTGTAGCCCGTCACATAGGGTGAGTCCTAGCACAAGTGTTAAAAGTGCAGTGTCTATTCTAATAGGGAGTGGGAGGCATGTGGTGAGACAGTTGTATAATTTTTTGCAAGAGAGGGAAGCTCCGGAATATGTAACAAGCAGGTGAAATGTTTCACGTCACTCGGGGATTTTCCTTTTCTTACAAAATTTGGAGATTATGGCAGCGGGACTATCATCAGAATATGGCTTTGTAGTAGTGTCAGTGCGAATTACTGTAATTTCAATTCTAACCCAGGAGCCCTTCGAAATCTGAGTTTTTTTTTATAACTCCTCCGTTTTTGTATGTAGTATGGTTTTGGTGCAGGATGATGTGATGAGACAATTGTAAAATGAGGGTTGGATTTTCAGAGCTGAGCGCAGGGGTGGGTGAGCAAGATTCTTTAGGCATTTTTTTTGTTGTTGAGAGAAGTGGTTTGTTAACCTTGGAGGTTCGTCCTCACTAGAATACTAAAGCAAAATCTCGGGGTGTCACGTAGGTTGAGGGGGCCTACGGGGCGCAGTTACATGTTCGTTTAGCTCTGCGCATACAACTTCGGAGCAAATGTCTTTCATTTTGTAAGATCAGCCTGGAGGGAGAGGAATCGAGAAGCCGATAAGCATCAAATTCTCATTTGTCTTGTCCGTCTTGGGACTAGTCGCAGGGTCTTCTGCCATCGCGCAGCCATTTCAAGTCAGGGTTAACCTTTGTGTCAGAGGGTGGGGTCTTGATAGGACCCTCCACCACTACATCAGCCATACAAGGGAGGTCTTCCAAGGTATTGAGCGGACTTTCAAATCCTCGACAGCACGCAAAACGATTTTTTGCATGCTGTAGGAGCTTACATAGACTGCAAAGCTGAGGTTCATTTTCGTTTGAGCGGCCCTCTATAAGTAGAAAAGGGACTGAAACAATTTGCTCGGAGGGGTGGTTTTTACCGCGCTAGAATGAGTATGGATTTGTAGCGAAGGTACCCGCGTTTTGGTATGGAGAGTATCGCGATGCGCAGTGATTTTGAGGAAATTTGGAAGCTTCACCTCAAAATGTAAAAATTTCATCGCTATGGGGGATTGGAACGTGGGCCGTTTCTTCACCACTTGTTGGCTTTCACGTGGTCGCTCAGCGAAATGGGCCTCGGTTTTGTAGTCTACGCATGAGTTTCTATAAAATGCAAAAGTCCTTTTGGAAAAGTGGAACTTATCCTGGAAGGCCTCCCTAGGCTTCCAGAATCACAAAAAATTCCATTTCTAAACACAAGCCATATGAAAATGGAAATATTCATAATGATTTTGGATTGCAAGCGAGTGCATGGCGCGTCTCAGAGCACGAGAGTGTATTGCAGAAGTGTCCGAGTTGAGCTCGGTAGCGTGCGTTCGCATGGGCGCGCGCAATCTTCGAATGGATTGAGGCGGACTTCAAATCTTCAAATGATTGTAAATCTGTTCAATATCAATATTTTTCGGAACGCTAAGCAGATTTGTAATCTACGAGACTGCTGTTATAGTTTCAGAAAATTACACCAATGGTATCTTCAAAACTGTTTAGTTATGGGGTAGAGAATTAAGAATTCACAGAAATGCGCACTTCTTCATTTGAAAGGTTGTAATTTTCTTCAAATAAGAAAGTGTGAGAAGTGGTAAGAAAATTTGGAAACTCAGATTGTTTTCTTTCTAAAAAGTACTCAAACTTTTGTAAAGTTTCATTTCTTCAAAAATCCCCGTTGGACCGTTTTTTTTTGTGCACAACCGGGTTTTTTGGCTTTCAATGACTATAACTTTCTTCAGATTCAACCTTTTGCATTCTTTCCCCCTGGAAAAAACTAGAAGGTTAGAGCTTTCTAAAGAATACTTGAACTCATTTCAAAATGACGGAGTCAAAAAAAAAACGTCTCGCTAGTCGTCTCTTTTGTGAATCAATTTTTGGCGGAACCCTAGTTTTTTTTTGGCTTTGAACTGTTATAACTTTCTTCAGATTCAACTTTTTGCAAATCTTCAACCCCTCGAGAAACTAGAAGGTTAGAGCTTTCTAACAATACTTGATCTCGTTCCCAAAATGACCCGTTCAAAAAATCGTCCCGTTGGACCGTTTTTTCTCATGATGGAATATTGATACCATGACATCGTACAAGCTTTATGCTTCATAACGGAGACCTAAGTCTTTCCAGGAAGTTGCGACAAGCAAATATTTTTTTGGTTTTTTCTTGTAAGCCTTTAGAAGTCAATCTACCCAAGTGGTCACTTTTCTAACTTAGGTCCAGTTTGAAGACATTGGTTCTCCTCTAGAGCATATTTGTGTACGTGAACAGTCAAATATGGACACTTCTGCAGTAGACTCTTCTGCTCTGAGGTGCGCCATGCACTCGTTTGTGGTTAATAGTTGGAGAAGCACTCGAAAGTTATACCCCTCACCTACTGTCGCGAGAGCAAACGTCTTGATTCTAATCGTTTAATGCTGTGAGCCTGCGCCTAGGGTTTTATTCGCATCTGTGTTAAATTTCGTCACTCCACGTATTACGACATCGAATTCTATGAATACGACCTCGCTCTTTCGTTGGCAGAATAGGACCCCCCACGTTAACTTGGTCCAACGGACGGTTGGCCTCGCTCGTATTGAGACTCCTTGGGGGGGGGGAGCAGAGAATCGCGAGATTTTTGAACTTGAAATCCAGTCGTCTAGTCGTTGAAAGTTGAAAACCCGAGTGAGGTGCCGTAACATTTGTGTTCGATGTGAATTGTTTTTAGATCGATGAATTCTTGAATCCTGATGATGACGAGTCCAGTCGTGATGATTTTCAAGGCAAGCGATTTTGTTCCACATGATTGCATTTAGTGGACGTTTAGTTTTCATGTAATTCAGTTTAGAAGGTGGTTGCTACTCAGATGTTACTGACGAGGAGCAGCATGTTCAACCTCGCAGAGAAAGTGCTGGTTTTCAGAATGTACGACTCTCATATAATAGACGTTTTTCTGCTAAGATCTGCTTTCATGTGACATCTCTTCCTCTCGACGGATGGTTATTGTGATCATTAGGGTTTCAACACTAAGGTCATTTTCTAGTATCGTTCTGTCCCGCAGCCGCATCAGGACCTAAATGCTGTTCAACACAGAGAGGCACCAAGTTTTCGCAAAAGATTTAAAAGTCCAGGAATTCAAATAAAGCAAAAACAAGCACCAAAAACAAAAGTTTTGATGCAGATTTCGCGAGGTTTTGCTCTTGTTGAGGCAACCCACTCCTGGAGAGAACTGCTTTCCACATCTGGAATATCGAGATGTTTAAAATGGAATTCTTTTGATTTTTTGCCTTGTTTTTTTTTTGCAAATATTTGCAGTTTGGTGAACTTTTGCCATTCTTTTGGTATAGAACTTTTGGGGTCTCTCTGTTAGCATGCTTTAGCATGCTGTGAAGCTGTAGTCCACTTCATTCAGTAATCATTCACAAAGCAATAGGATCTACAAACATTTTCATGAAGGAAACCTATCGCATGTTTGAAAGTGCCTTCGCTCCATTAATGCCCCCTTTTAGCCTATCGATGAGGCCAATAAGATTGACGTTTATCTACGACTCATTTGTCTGTGGGCTATTGCTTAGTGACAACACATAGATCTTCAAGTGCAAGGGACGACGGTGGAGTCTTCCACAAGACTAAACATCATCTAGGTGGTACCACAAGTCTCGATAGCGCACCTGAGATCCCCCACCATATTTTACTGGTTGCCAGTGAAGATAGGCTTCACAATAAATTTCCAGATGTTTTCTATAGGTTTAAGATTTGAACTGAGTGCGGGTCAATCCAAAACATTGACTTGTTGACGCTAATCGATGTTTAGCGAATTAGATCTGCAGTAGATGGAGGCCGAGTCGTGAATAAATAGGAAATTCCATCAGCGATCTTCATTCAGAAACGACAGCATAGCAAGAACATCCTCTCAGTTGCTGATGTCCGCTCTATTCGATACATGAGCCAGAGCATGTACACCACAGTTGCCCATTGCAGCTCACACCGTCTGGGATCCACTACCGAAGTTTCTCCGGCTGAAGCCCAGCGGATCTTTCATAAGAGACCTCTAAATCGTCCATCTGCTGTCCCGAAGCGCCTGCGACATGCGTACTCGTTAGTTCTGTGTGGGGCATTTCCACTGCAGAAAGGAATATTGATGTTGGATAGTTGTTTCTTACCCGGAGGGATTGCCTGAAACGTGTATTATTTTCGTTTGTTTCACTTGTTCAAGTGTGCGCGGTAACCCTTGTCACCGCGATAGGTGCACCCTCAGCCAGCATTTCCTTCCAAAACACCCTCGATACAGTCTACCTTAAGTACGAGTTTCGTTCTCTGGTGGTTTCGTGAGATGCCCAGATTCCCTCTTGACTTGAATCCTTAACACGTTGACGACATTGTGCAGCGCATGCGCATCACACCTTGAGCACCGTGTGGGACCGTGTGCAGCGCATGCGCTGCACACACAAAATATTTATTTTTTTTTCGCGCATGCGCTACTTCTTTTCTAATTTTTTGCATCTATTCCATAGACTACACCATAATATGACTAGACACGGCGAGGTTCATTGAATGGTTGAATATGCTCCTTTTTAGCGAAGGTTTTCTAAGCCCTACGAATTTCCCAATTGTGTTCATTCCTAGTTTCCTTTATATTCTGATAATCTTGGTCATAAAAAAGAGCAGTAGAAGTAAGTACAGACCCACACATATAGCAAGACATATGTTTTTAGTGGAGCAACCGCGTCAAAAATAATTTTGAGGTTTACTACAGCAAAAGCAACTGAAACTTGCCTTTTCATGCCAGAAAACGTCAATTTGATCGATTTTTTACAGTTGTCCCTTTCTGATAACTGACACATCGAATATCATTCTAAACATTTTCTTGCATCCGAGTTTTGGGTATTTAAAGCTCAAAATTCACGGATTTGATGTGAGGCGGCGGCGCCTGCAAAATCGCCGTGGTCCCACGCGGTGCAAAAACCCAAAACGCGCGTTGTCGTCAACG